TGATGTGGGCTTAATACGCGGCTAGGCTTATTAGCCGTGGGCTTAATAGCCGGCGATTACTGTAATTGTGTTTTGGGCATCCTCTGACCACAATTATCACCTGATATTGTGTTAAGCCATCTTTTGCGCTCATAAACCTCCTCCATCTAACAGTTTCAACTAATTACTCTGTCATACAAAAAGACATGATTAATGTACACAAGGTCTTTGAACTCTTGGCCAAAAGACAGATGGTTTAGGCTGTACGCTTAAAGAACGTGAAGTTGCATTCTAACTTGTTTCCTTTCCCACTCTGTTGCATTTTATACCTTTGCTCTTCATCTCCTTTTTCTTTCTTCTTGAGGGCCTTTTTGCGCGACGATCGAAGCGATTTAGTATTATTCACAAAATTTAAAGTGTCCCTAAAGATTTCTGTCCTAAATTTTCTAATGAATTATGTCGCTTAACATATTTTGTTTTGCTTTTTTGCTTCTCCCCTTCCGTAGAATGTCTTTTTCTACCCTGCCGGACTACATCGACCTGGAATCACTGTTCGACACCAACCGACGCATTCGAAAGGATGATTTTCTCAGTGTGATGGAGTTTGAGGATGCGAATCCGAAGAAGTTCAAGCGAATAATTCAGCAGTGTATGCGTGTTATGGAGGAATTTGGACCGTGGTGCGCTGACATGGTAGGCGTTAAACCCATCTCTCCCTCTCTGCTTGTGGTTTTGCTTGGCGATCTAACAGGCAACCCCTTGAGAGTCCTGAGGGTTTAATTGGAGGGGAGAGTGCGGTAGGTGCAACGACAGTTTCCAAGTGATCCACTTGTAAGTCACTGTCCCTGCATCACCACCATGCCTTGGAGCGCATGGTGGACATAATTGAAATCGATGGTCGACCGGTCGATGTTACTTGTGGTGGGTTCGGTGATTTAACAGCAATTGCGTTATTAAGGACGGTTATGGTGGTACTGGTGTTGATAGTGACTGTTGTACTGGGTATAGTGATGGTGGCGATGGTCGTTGGCAAAAGTAGCTTACGTAGGCCCACTCATATACCCCTAGTCCCAGCATTTTATCCTGCAAAAAACGGTGGTTATAGAGTTTTTTGGGGGTGGGGAAATAGGATAGGCAGAGAAGGAAATTTTTAGAACTGTAAAGTGAAAAAAATGTAGTCGAAGTTGCTTCCCGCGACCGCTGGGAGTAAGTTGTTCCGCG